TGAGTGCGTTCTGCCCGTGTCCCTTCCCCACTGTTCTTACAATCTGCTGCCGTGCTTTTTTGTGATGTGTGTAGTTCTTCCTCGGGACTCGGGAGGTGTGTTTTAATATATTCTATGCTGTATTGTTTTATATTCTGTCCCTTCCCATCCTGTTCTCTTCTATTCTACCTCCGTTCCATTCTAGTCCATCCCCTTCACTAAAAAAATAGTGGTCCCAACTCCATTTATTTCATCATTCATTCATTGTTTTTGATCTGCAGTTAAAAAAGGTAACACGTTCTGTATGTTAAAACAACAAAAGTTGTTCCTAAATCTAAGAGTCATGTAATTACTTCTAATAGAGATATGATTTTAGTATTAAAATGATAACACAGAGAAATAATACACAAGCATCAAAAATGGCTATAGTATTTGTTTTAGAAAAATTACTTTTATTTGACCCCAAGATTTGTGTTTTCTTTTATAACACATTCTTTGATCCACAAATCTACCAGTCTTTGAAATTTGAAAGAAAAAAGCAATAGACTGTTACACTGTTCTTGTCAATTCTGATATGGACTGGACAAATTGTGTCACAATACTTTTTTGTTTCTAGATCATAAATAATCCTGTTCATGTAAGTACCAGGTAACTAGTCCCTCCCTCTGCATATAAGCAATGTCCTTAAAAGGATGTCATAGGGAATTAAATGAAAAACTCTTGTTCTGGGCCTCCTGAGTGGCTCAGTCAGTTAAGCGTCTGCCTTTGGGTCAGGTCAAGATCTCTTGTTCTGTGCTCTAAGAAATAGTTCTAGAAAATAGTTGTTGGAAATGGATGAGAAAGATCATTTTGCTACTTAAATTATCAAGTATATTTGCTAAAATTTCTCTGAAGATTTATTTATAATATGATGAATGCCAAGTGGTGAGATAGGATCTATTGTCCATGCATTGAGGACATGGAATCAAACAAATTGGTTTGTTTGAGTTAGCACATTTTATTAGTCTGTGTGAAAAATATATAGAATATTTAACTAAAAAGGGAGAGTAGAAGAGTACTAAGTTAAATAATTTGTCAAATGCCCAGTGATAATACATTTCTGAAAATTATGATTACAAAGTTAAATATTCCATCTTTTTTTTTTTTAAAGATTTTATTTATTTATTTGCGAGAGAGACAATGAGAGACAGAGAGCATGAGAGGGAGGAGGGTCAGAGGGAGAAGCAGACGCCCCGCCGAGCAGGGAGCCCGATGCGGGACTCGATCCCGGGACTCCAGGATCATGACCTGAGCCGAAGGCAGTCGCCCAACCAACTGAGCCACCCAGGTGCCCCTAAATATTCCATCTTTAAAGTTAAGAAATCCCACTGTTATGCACTGTGGTTTTTGCAGGGAGTAGTTATTTTCCTTTGTCTGAAATCTTAAGAAAATTAACTCATGTGAGGAAAGAAGTTATAAGTACAGCTAAAGGTAGAAGAATGGCTTTTATTTTTATATTTACATTCATTTATTCTTTCTTTCTTTTCCTGATGGCTTGTGGTCAAGGTGGTACTATTGTATATGAAGTGCTTTTGTTTGTTTTTTGTTTTCTTTTTTAACTTTGGGAGCAAGGCTTGTTAAAATGAATTTCCTACAAAGTATAGTTTCCATAGCAACTGTAACTTTATTTTCACGTGTACCATTTAGAATTAGTTGACAATAATAATTATAGACTACTTTAAGATAAAACATTGGCTGTACAGCAAAGACGTGTATAAAGACATGGTTTCAGGAAAATTGTCCTGGTTTACTTTTTGAAGGAGGATTTGGTTTTCTTATTTAGAGAGATGATTGAAATTCTATCTACATATCCATTGTGAAGTATTGAGGTGATTATTGTTACATGTCAAGGAACATCTACCTCCCATAATTTCAAAACCTCTTTTGTTACCCTAAATTTTTATTTCTCTCTCTCTTCCTCTGTCTCTTTCTGTTTGTGTGTGTGTGTGTGTGTGCATGCACGCACATGTGCATGTGTGCACATGCTCAAACTTGTCAAAATTTCTTTTGTTCAATTATTATTTCTCTGGAAATAACTTGAGTACTGAACAATAGAATAATGTAGAAAATCCATATATCACCTTATCTTCTTTTAATTAGAAAGCCCCTTAGACTATAAACCTTCTAAAGAAGGCATAGTAAGGAGCATATAATTGGAAGAAATGTCACTCAACTTAGAACATGAAAAGGAAATCCAAAAGTTAACCTATTTTCCCTGTTACTTCACATTTAGTTGCTTCATGTTGTTGAAAGCTAAATGTGTTTTTCTACCTTAATGGTTTTACATAAGTTAATATATAAACATGAAAGTATTTTTCAGAGTCATTGGATTATTACCAGTGTCCTAGTAAAATAGTATCATCCTGAATGTGATGGTCAGAAATGAATAAAACAGGATTTAAATTATTGAAATTTCCCCCTGAAATATCATCTTATTAGCGCTATTTCTTTGTTCAAGAATAAAAGTAAGTGGCACAGCAATAAAAATTCTGTGCCGCATAACTAACTATAGTGCACATCAGTAGACAATAATGATAAAAGTGTTTTGTAGGATATAAAATGTTCCTCGGAGGTAGAGAAAAGCATAAGCAGATGAGAATTCTCTCTATAACTCTTAGCATGCGAGGGTCCAGTGGGGTAAATAACGTGCTGTGATGGGGTGCTGTGGCTAGTGGAGGAGGTAGAGGATGACTACTAGCTGCTATTCTGAGACCAACTGCAGCAGTGAATGCTCTGGTCACCCACCAACTCCTTCTAAAATTTCCCTCACAAAGAGAGGGGCATGGGATTCATGGAGGGGCTACTTCTGAACATGCATGGAGAAGCCGACTGGGGCAGTTCCAAGGTTTGACGTTGGTGGCCATAAAAATCCCTCACTCAGATCTCCTTCTGAACGGAACATGGCTGACCGACAGCCTGAGCTGTTGCCTTCTGAGTGCGGGGCCCTTTCTAAAAGAGATGGGCTACTTTTGCTCATGACTCTGCGTCAACTCGGTTGACATTTTCTCAGAACTAGGCTATTATCAGAGACTCTTTTTTTTACCCAGTCCTTCTCTCTCCTTCTTCTTTACCCGCGTCAGATTTGCATCATGGTCTGAAGGTTCTTCCCACCTTCTCTAGACTCCTGTTTATCCTTTACAGGCTTTTTTTTTTTTCCCCTCCAAGTAAATGTCTTAGATGTCATCAGTATTACCATAATCACCCGTCTTGGCATCTGCTTCTCAGAGGACTTGAATTAACATAGAGTTTGGAGAAAATATAAATAATTTGGTGGTGGATGTGGTAATCATGAGCTATATATTGGACATTCAGGTGTAGATATTGAACAGGCAGTAACATACACAAATCTGAAAATGCAGGAATTGAGACGGGTTAATCTGGAGATAGAAATTTGGGAGTTGACTATCAGTGATATTTAAGCCATGAAACAGGATGAACAATGTAAATAGAGAGAAGAAGAGGTCTGAGGATGAAGTCCTGATTGAACACCTCAACCAGAAAAAAGAGTGAGCAGGGCATCAGGGGGAAATCAAGAGAGTGCAACGGGCAGGAAGTCAAGTGAAGATCATGCTTCAAGGAAGTCGATAATCTTGTAAAATGCTGCTGATGGATCAAGCACCAAGAATTCTGAGAATTAAGGATGGAATTTAGCAATGATGGGGTAATTGCTGACCTTGAGAAGAACGGTTTTAGGATATGTAGGGATGGGAGGCTGATTTGAAGAATAGGGAAAAAATAGTGAATATAGAAATGAAGTGAATGAGTATAAAAGTGCTGTCACGGAGTTTTGCCATCAAGGAGACGAGAGAGTGAGGTGTTTCCTAGAGGGTGACATAGATTCTAGGAGTTGTAAAAATTCATTTGTTTGCTTTTTTTGTTTGTTTTTAAGATAGGAAAAATTAATCACATTTATATGTTGATAGAAATGATCCAGTAGCGAGAGGGAAAAGTGATGGTGTAATAGGAGAGGGATAGGCTTTCTGAAGCAATGTCCTAGAGTTGGAGAGGAGGGATAGGATGGACAGTTCAATCCACATAATAAGAGGAAAGGCAGAGTGAATAGGCACAGTGGAGGTAGGTGGATAAATGTGGGTGTCGGCCCTTCTGGAAAATTTGATTCTATTTTCTGAGTGAAAGTGCAATGAAAAGGATATTTATCTAGAGAGAGTGAATACATTTAGGAATTGCAGTATGATTGCCTAGCAGCATTAAGAACCCATTCCTGTTGTAGGCAAGAATGTAAAATGAAAGCAGTCTGCATACGTTGTTTTTTTTTCTGTCCTCGTGATCAGTTCTGCGGGGGCAGGCACACGGAGGCACGAGATTGGATTTAACTGGGATTTGGGTCTTACCAATTCCATACCAGGAAGAGAGGGGCAACGGAGTTGAGGGGATAAGCAAGGGAGTAATTCTAATAGAAGGCAAGGGAAGACGTTTCCCATTAGCCCTAAAGACATACCACATAAGCAATTGCCAGTGGGGTTTATGAGTAAAACTCTCCTATGTGACATTTTTCTTTCATGTATCAGCATGGCTTGGAAAGAAGTTTGGGAGTGGTGGTGCTTTCTGAAAGAAAATCACCAAGGAAGTACTAAAACATGTCATTTGCCAATGGATATCTTGGACCTGAATTGAAGGATCGATAAGACAGAGATATTAATGGTTAATATTTCAAAAGAGCAGACTTTTCATGTTAACAAAATGTTTCAGTGGAAATGTTTGTCAAAGCATTAATCTTACCCAATGATAATCTTTTGCTTGGATAACTTGGGCCAGCATATATATTTTCTACAAGAGCTTCGTCAAAGATTTTAATCAGAGTAAGAATTCCACATTGAAACACAGCACTGAGATTTCTACCTCAGTTAATTCTTTGTGCATCTAATACATCATACTTAACACTAATTTGCATTAAAATGATAAATGCAACAATTCCTTGTATATATAGGGAAAAAAACAGTAAAACATGAACATCATGCCACTTCTACTAGAGATACCATAGTGATTTCTTAAAATTGCTCTTTTAGGTGTTCAAACATTACCTCTGTGCACGCAATGTTTTTAATTAGTGTTCTCTAAATAGCTTAAAGAAAACCAGTAATTCCATTATTTATATTTCCAAATTAAATATTGTTTTGTAACAATAATTCTTACAGTTATGAAAAATATCAAATGTTTTTAAATGATGCGCTATAAAATTAACAGTTATTTCATATGTTACTTAAATTAACTTTGGTTTGCTTATATGTGCACTGCTGAATAAGTACACTGATATTTTCTCTAACAGCAAAGTTGACTAGGCAATGGTATTTAAAATTTTCTTTTGAAATGTCCACATCTTGACAAAATATATACTGCTAACATACCACATTTGTGAAGAACATGTTTAGAATCTTTGGTGGTAGAAAAAAAAATATATAGAATACATACAGTTTTTTAATTTTTAATTTTTTTTAGCTATTAATTATTCTAAAGATAATATTTTTCTTGTCTAATAATGACTATAAAGCATGACAACAGCTGTTCCTTATAAGCACCATTCCACCTCTGAGAATAAGCTGAAATTTTTCTTAAGGCATATTAAACCTCTCCATCCACAAGAAATTGGCTTGCCTGGCTATGAAGTGAATCCCTACCCACAGGTTGTGTGGGAATAATGAAATCTATAATATGACTTTTAGGAGTATCATTTTTGGGGTCCAGGAGATTAGGATTCATTCCTGGCTCTGTCACCTGTACATGGAGTGTGTGAATTTAGGCAGGTTATTTCATCTTCGTATGCCTCAGTCTTATCATCTGTGTTCCCCTCAAACCCTCGAACAGAATATTAAGTACAAGAGAATAGGACTTAGTCTGGTTTAAGAATCTCCAGTGCCCAACCCACAGATATGTTCTAAATAAATATTTGTTGAATGAATAAATGTAATGGACTAATACTTAAAACAGTATAATAATAATTGTTTAGTGGGGATATTTTGGGATTAATGACATAATACACAGTGAGTATAGAGCACAGACCTGGATCAGAGCAACTATTCTCAATGAGGAGAGTTCTAGAGAAGCCACGGTAAGTTTGGCTTCTGTAACTAATTTGTGTTTTGCCTTCAGACTATGGATGGGATTTATACTAGAATTAGTGACCCTATGCCATACTCCAGCACCTGTGAATTGTGTAAGAGGGAAAATATTTATTTTATTACCATTTATAGCTCCTAAATCTTTCATAATATTTGGGAGAAGTGGAAATAAGCCAAGCAGATTAAAATATTTTAGCATACAATCTAAAACTCATGACATCATTGACAATGTTTTCAGAACTTAAGCATGCATACCAGAAAACCAGAGGGAGTATATATGATATTTTATTGGTTTAAGATGCATATTTAAAATTTTTACATATCCAAAATCTGGATGCATTTTATAATCAATGGCCTCTTATAATTGATTGGCTTCTCTCTTCTTTCCTTCCTTCCTCCTTTCCTCCCCCCCTTTTTTGTGGTTCATAATATAATAGGGTATTTTAAATAGACTTGGTTAACTATGGTATAGCCATATATTAAAGCAATATTTCTCAATGTGTATTTCTTATCACCATCCAGCCCTGGCAAAGAGGCTCTTAGGCATTTTTTCCCCCTAATTTTCCACCCCATGAAATTTTAACACCATAGATATACTCTATATCTATTCACGTATTGCATGCATATATCTGTTTTATGAATAAAAGGACTGATATTTTTGCCCCCCAAGAACCAATTTCATCCCCTTGGGGGCAATATTAAACACACTGAAAATGCAGGTATTAAAGTGATACTCCATATCACTCTTAGTTTTTAAAATCTCCTTAACTAGAACATTGGGAATCATAAACTAATTCTTAGGTTTAGAACTTTTGGTTTTAATCATATAACAGGATGTCCATGAATTTTATCATTATCACGGATGACCGTCAAAATGTGTGCAGTTTGAACATTTGCTATTTGCCCCAGCAGTTGGAAAACTATCCATAATATTTTTTTGTTAACAAATAAAAGATCTTCAAGTTCAACCAGTGATCTCATTCAACATATCATTCTCATTTTATGAAATAAGACTATTTAATAATTTCACTGTATATATTCAGGATGTTCACTACTTCACCTTTACATGTTTGTGATTTTAAAGACATAATTTGAACACTACATCAATAAAGAGATTTTTTAAGACCATCTGATTTGCCAGGGGTGCGGGAGACACCTGCTCTAGACTACATTACTGCATTCAGTTGGGGAGGATGAGGAGGCACAGTTCTCGAAGCCTCTATGTAACACTCTTCTGCTGTCAGCTAAGCAGTCTGGGGATTCCCACCTCCGATAGTAATGATGGGAATCAGAACTTAGTCCCTCTGGGACCAGCGGTTTGCACCAGAGGGAAGACAGGGTCACCACCTATGGCCATCAAATCAGGATTTTCACTTGCAAAGCGAATTGTTGTATTTAACAGCTTTAACTGATGGAAAAAGGAGTGATTTCTTTACTTGGAGAATGTCTTTAAATAGCGAAGTTGTTGAGTATGTTCCTAAAGATTCACTTATCTTTGCTCTGGGCTATGCAGTTTAACTCCCATTCTCTTAGGTTAGTGGTGCAAAGAACTTCTAAAATTAGTGATACGTAGAACTTGAAACTTTGTTGTATGTATTGCACTATTATTTTATATTTGACAATTCAGACATTTGGCCTACTTGTATTGGGTTGTGTTAAATGACTAGTTTTGAGACTCACTGTGCACTTGGTTTGGGGGATGTGAACTATTCTAGCAGACCAAGCAATATATCAGTAAAAACTAACACGGGTAGTACTCAAAAGAGACTCTTCAACAGTATACAGACATCCATTTCAAGGCTTTATCAGTTGAGTTAGTTGTACACAAGCTTTTGTACATAAATTGAAAGTGAACTCAAAACCAGAAATCATCTCCCCCACTGCTCCTAGTACTTGCCCTTTCTCTGCCTTTTAACCGAAGCATCTCCATGATACTCCGGGCATAGACATCCCTCAAGTTAACACTGATATATGAATCAGTGGCTATATTCTTGGTGAGCTTCTTCAGAGCTTCCCGCTGTCTAACGGCTGCTTCCTTGAGCTTTAAGGTGAAATAGCAAGCGGAGAAGCGGTCATTAATAATAGCAATAGGCAAGGCCAAGACAAGGATTCCTGATAATATACACATGAAGGCCACGATTTTGCCTGTGGTGGTGTCAGGTCTAATGTCCCCGTAGCCCACAGTAGTCATGGATGTCGTGGCCCACCACCATGCACAAGGGACACTTGTGAAGGTTGTGTCAGGAATGCTTTGCTCAGCAAAATATTCCACCGTGGAAAATATAGAAATTCCCACAGACAGAAATAGGAGCAGTAGGCCGACTTCTTCGTAACACTGGGTGATTGTCATCCCGAGTGAGCGTAATCCTGGAACAGAACAACTGTCGTCAGTCACTGGCACCCCTTCGTCCCTCGCCACCTTCCACTTCCCTCTCTTCCCGTCTCCTGCCCGGCTCTCTGCCCACAAACGTGCATTTCACATGTGACATGTCTCCAGCACTGGGCAGTGTTCTGGGGATACTGAGATGATAAATCATAATCTTTTTCTTCAGGGAGCTCATAGTCTAGTTGGTGGGGCCAGATTGCAAAGGATAGAAAGAAATCTAGTTAGATTCATTCATGCACTTATATATTTACTAAACACCCACTAGTTATACAAAAAAAAAAAAAAAAAGGTGACAGATGAGACTACAAGGCAGGCAGGGGATGTATGACAGGAATTATACTTTAGTCCATAAAATGGGAGACCCGTGCATCATGGCAAGTGGAGGGCTCACTTAGCCAGACCTGCATTTCCATGTGTCACTTTGGCACACTTTTCTAACATTTTATGTGTCTGCTTTACTCACCCTCCTAACGAAGTGGAACACTGTCAGGGCATTGTTATCTGAAAGCCAGAAGCAGTAAAGGGTGTCCACCATGAGAATGAAGTGAAGCAGCAGGAGTGAGTTAAGCATCAGTGACCACACTGACACACGAGAACATTCTACGTACATTCACGGGGCATTCTTAAAGGTTTATCAGGAGGGATTCCTCAACTCCCGTGATAACCACTCAAATTCGCACCCATAGTACCAAAGCTATAGGGAAACATTTCCCTTGAGTACACAGAATTTCTGCTTTCCTCTAAGGAGATAGACCTGAATACAGATTATTCCTTCACTGCAGAAAGGTATGGGGGACTGAAGCTACTGGGAAATTCACTCACTATGAGGCATTGGTGCATTCCCTACTGCTCTTCTGAGGATTCACTGAACCCCTGGGAGACATACCCAAGAGAGCCTAATCCCATCTCCAGAGACTCAACCCAAAGGAGAGTCAGATGAGTCCATAATGGGACTACAATTTTGAATAAGGTATCTCCCCTGACACCTGAGTTCACAAACACTGCTGAAGGTGTATCCACATTTCGAAGTCATATCAGCCTGAAGTCATAATGATGCTGTCTCTGAAGGTCAAAGCAATGCCTCCTAGAATCATTTTAATTTTTATTCACTAGAGACTATTTGAAATTTCATTAAAATGCCATTTGTGCTCTCATTATTTTAAAATTTGGTTCTTAAAACTTCAAGATGTTCTTAAATTATTTACCAGCTATTTTTTAAAGATTAAGGAATATTAATTTTGACGTTTAACTTCAAAAGAAGATTCTTTTTAGATTGTCTTTAGAATAGCTTTTAGAAAGCTGACCTTGATGTGTCTGCATTGAATTGTATTTCTGAAATATATTGACAGCATATAGAAGAAAAGCACAATATTTAGAAGACTTTTCATTTCAAGATGAAATGTTCTAAATAATTTTGTAAAGAAACACAAAGTGGTCTAAATTTCTGCATGCTACATCTATTAACTCAGATAATCCTTAAAAAACAATATGAAATTGATGTAATTATTGTGCCATTTTACAGATGAGGAGACTGAGGCACAGAGAAGTGGCATATCTAGTACAGAGCTGCAGAGCCAGGACTTAAACTTTGGCTCTCTGGCCCACCATTGCCCTCCTGTTATTCTAGAATACCTCTCATCTTATATTTATAGTTAATACATGGGGAACTATGTCATCTATGTCTATATATTGCAAAATGTAATGCTTAAGATAAAATTGTCAAATATTTATGTAAGCGTTCATATCCTTTCAATAAATTAAGGCTTCATTAATACTTTGTACTGCTTTGGAACTAAAAAAAAAAAAACAAACCCTTGAAGAGGTGACACGGTGGAAATTACCATTATTTTCTTTTTCTTTTCTTTTGGGAAAAAATGTAGTCTTTACTGGGTGTTTTTAAATCGAATCTTGTGAGGAGTTTATAAATACTAGAAGAAAGCATCCTATTATGGGTGTCAGAAAACAAAGAGTGGTACTTGTAAAAGTTGTTGGAAACCCCATTATCAAATCCCTGCTATGTGAGAGTAGCTAGGAAAATACACTACCAAAATGATGTTAGGAGAAGTCCTAATTACCTCAGACATGTGGGGAAAAAAAACATATTTGAAGTTAATTTCTCCCTATATTAATAGGGAGAGACAATGACCGTCAACTTCTTTTAGGTGACCAGTTAGGCACATATCTGGGGAAATAAGGTGGTAGTAGGACTTTCTAGCTAAATTATTTGTATTCTTGTGTATTGCATTTCCATGTACCATATTAACATGGCATTCTACTCCACTGTATCTTAGTATAGTCCACACAAAATCCCTTGTGAGCTTGTTAAAATGCATGCTCCTCAATCCACCCCCAAATACTAAAATCTGTCTTTTCACAGACTAGGTTCAGAATTTGCCTTTTAACGAGCTTTTCATCAAAATCTAACATAAGGTAACTCCAGAACATCCAACAGCCACAGGACCAGCCACTGAGAATTGCTGCCCTCAGGAACACAAGAATCATCTTTAATGGATTTGTGTGACTTCCCCTGACATTGACTATAACTTTCATGCACAATTGAGTGTTGTGTGGAGATTCTTCTAGGGCGAGTGTTCATTAGATTTTCATTAGATTTTAAGGAATTCCTGTTACTATATCTCTCATGCATCCCGGTTTAGGGACAAGAAAATTCTCATACTAGATAAAGCATTTAATCAGTGTCTTCAACTTTCCTACAAAGCAAATATTTCCATTGTTTCTTCAAAAATCATGGGATGGCCACCAGTGCCTGGTCATCCCTGTTTCTGCATGGCTAAAGAAAGCCCTGCAAGGCTGACTATCTTTTTTGCCCAGGAACGTGTGTGGTAAGCCCTTCCTTGGACACAGAAGAGAAACTGGCTTATGTCCCTATAGATTATGAATAATTTATGCATATTTTATGTGCTGTTTATGCATATTTTATCTAGAACCTTCTAGAGGCAGAGTCTTTAATTTTTGTACAACTTCTGAGCACTGGGTTAAATAAATTGAGGGTAACAAGGGGTCAAACTGTTTTTCACACGTCTTAGGGAGAGAAGGAGTGTGAGAGGCATCGTCTCTATACCTGTGATAGCAACTTCAGGGTTTTGCTTCCCAATCCCTTTTTGGAGACCCTGGTTGGGTAAAGGATGGGAGTTGGTAATTCTGAGTATCAATTCACGGCACTTCTCTTGGACTATAGTCAAGCACTAATGTTCACAAACAATGGCAAATTAAAAAAGCATCACTGAAATTTGAATACCTGTGGAATGTCTGCCCAGCTTTAGCATGCGTAGAGCCCTGAGCAGCCTCAAAACCTGCACAATGCGCCCCACATTTTCCAGCTCCTGGGTCGTCTGGCTCCCACTCAGGCTCTCCACCAGAAGAGTGATGTAGAAGGGCAAGATGGCAAGGAGGTCGATGATGTTTGGCACCTTTCTCAGGAAGCGGCACCTGTCCCGCACACACAGGAAGCGCAGGACAAACTCCCCGGTGAACCAGCTAATACACACATATTCCAGGATTTCCAGCAGCTGCAGGTCCAGCCAGCTTAATTCAGCTGACATCAGGGCCATGTTGACGATGGACACCACCACAAAGATGATGGAGATGACCCCAAAGATTCGAGCAGCTGTGGAAGATCCAGGTTTCTCCAGGATGTTCCAGAGCTTCTGACGGACAGTGGGACAAGGTCCTTGGGAGAAGTCCTGTTCACTCTCATGTTGACTCTCCTGGTCTTCTGTGTCCTTCTTAAAGTCTAACGTTTCACTCAGCTCCTTTCTTCTGAAGTATCTTTTAGAGAAAACAACTTGGTGATTAGTCTAACTTGAACAAAAAAATACAGACGTCAAAAGAAAATTAAACTTAGCAGTGAGGTCATGCTTTTTATTTTGGTAAAAATGCAGAAGATGTCCATTCATATTTAACCCAGGCTGTCTCCTGCCCACAGTACTCAAAATTTCTGTTTAGGATTAGTATTTTTAAAATGAACCTTTCTTGGCAGAAACTTATACAAAAAGATTTATACATAGCAAATCTACTTTAATGCATTTTATTACCCATTTTTCTTGTAACAAGAACAGAAGTTTGCCATTTGGAACTTTTGTGTATGTGCAATGGAAAGGTCCTCATGAAGAAACAGTACTAATAGCAAGATAATAACATAGTCATCATCAAAGTCCCACAAACATTCACAGTCAAGGAACCAATTTTCCATCTCCTGTATTTAAAGCAGTTCTCCATCCAAGTTTAGTGTTCTTCAAAAACGAATGATGTACTATATGTTGGCTAATTGAACGTAAAAAAATGCCAAAAAAAGAATAAAAAATAAAAATAAAATAAAGTTAGTGTTCTAGGCCTGATAAATGGTAATGCTCCCTACTGAAACCTCCATCTCTATCCGTGCATCTTTTGGATTTTGGCTTTTCTGACTCAAATATTTATTTCAGGCCTGACCTCCTTTGCCTTAAAAACGAATTGGCACACATTCGTTCAAAAAAGGAAGAGGTCCAAAAAGTTCCAATCCAAAGCTGGCTGTGACGCTTTCCAGACCTCCCCGCCACCCCACCTTAACAGCTCGGAAGTGGCCTCAGGTATTGTGAGGCCCGGATTCAGCGAGGCTTGTGTGAAGCTCCTATCTTACCTCTGCGGCCCTCTCTCCACTGCGCCCGCCTCCCCGCCCAGCCCCCGCGCGCCTCTCGGGTACCTGTCCCTGCAGCAGGAGTCGATGCTGAGCTCGTCGATGCCCCAGTACTGGATCTCCTGAAGGAAGGAGAGCGCGCACAGCTGCTCCATGACGTGCAGGCGGCCGGTGCGGTAGTAGTGCAAGACGTAGCGGAATGCTTGCGAGCTGCGGTCGAAGAAGTACTCGTTGTCCACGGGGTTGGCATCATCGCAGAACTCCAGGGGGCTGGGCACGGCGGCCAGGGCCCCGGGGCGGCGGCACGAGGCCACCACCACGGCCAGCTTGCCAAGGCGCGTGTGCGGGAAGCAGGACAGCGCCTGCTGCGAGAGCACGAAGCGGCTGCCGCCCACGTTGACCGTGAAGCAGTCCCCGAGCGCCAGGGGCTCCCCTTCACCCTCGCTGCAGAAAACGCTGGAGTCCAGCGAGGTCAGGGAGCAGCTGTCCAGCGGCGAGTCCAGCGGCGCCCGCCCTCGGGGAGGCAGCTCCATCCCCGCCGCCGCTGTGCGAGGGCGCCACAAAGTTGGGGGGCGCGCCGGAAGCCTCGGTCCGGCGAGGGTGGTGGCACGGCCCCTGGTGGCGGCCGGGATTTCCCGGACTCCCGAGGCGGGGGGGTGCCTCCCGCCCGCGCACCCCTCCACTCTCCACCCCCTGTGCTCGTTCCGCCAGTGGCCGCTAGGGCGCGGCGAGCGCGCGATTACAGCGCACCAGTGCCGGGGCGCCCAGGCTGAGGCGAGGGGGGCGGGGGTCGCGCCGGAGGGGGGTGGGAGCTCCGACGCTGTCTAGGCGGGGACAGCCCCGGGGGACACTGCTGGGCGCCGAGGCCCTTCCCGGACTTACGCCCCCCCTACTGAGTTCGTGCTGGAGATTCCCAGCCCCGGAGGGGTACGGATTGAATGCTTCGCTACCTAGGGCTGGAGAGGGCGGGGAGGGAGAGGTGGGGGGTCTAGAGTGGGGGAGGAGGACAAGAGGACTCTTGGGGGGAACGGACCGAGGCAAGGGGGATGGTAAGACTCACTCCAGCCCAGGAGACCGAGAGGGAAAGTTCAGAAAGCAGGGGCAGTGGTGGCCGGGTCTGAGTTCTTTCCAACTTGAGGCTCTGTCTTCCTCCGTCTTCTTTAACGGCGGCGGCTTCAGAGGCCTCCCCGGCAGTGGTCGCTGGGGGCGTGAGCACGTGGCGGAGGGTGCCCAGGGCGAGGGGCCGCATCATCTGCTCCCATTCATTCTCATTCAAGTCTGATTGTCACTCACGCTCTATTTCCTCCTCCCTCCCTCTGGTTTTGACCTCCTGGTTGAGAAATAAGGATAATTGGTGGTGACTTTTAACTGAAGTCCCAGTGAGTCACTAAGAACAAGGGGTCACCATTGCCAGTTTCCGCCGCGTATCGAGGCACTTTGCGCCCTTCGGTCTAGCCATTTCTGCCGGTACAAGTTTCCCGGAAAGCAGGCGTTCTAGGCTCGTTCTCCGGCATACAGCGGAGCTCTCATTTTAGGAGAAGGGAAGGCAAAAAGACAAGGAATAGAACGGGCGTGGGCTGGGGCAGGAGTTTAAATAGTAACGACGACTCGGTAAAGGGAGCAGCCGAGCGCCGTGCGCAGGTGAGACTAGAGGTGTGCCCACCGGGCCCCTTGGAGTAGCGCCCCAGCCAACCTGTTGGACACGGGGCGGGGGTGGGGAGGAGGGCAGGGTGACTCACCTTCCGCTCCGGGCACATCTGCGCGGCGCTCGGAGGCCGCGGCTGATCTGGTTGCCTTGGTTAGATCCTCCTGGCGTACACGTGAGGTCTGACTTGACGGGTCCAGGAGGAAGACTGTGTTCGAGGCTGAGCTCGGCGCTGGCGCTTGACGCCTAGCCTCGCATCATCTCCACCGCCTCCGGCTCCGGCCCCTCGGCCGCCCCCGCCCGAGCTAGCGAGCCATTCGCGGTTTCGAGCACCAGCTGTGGGGAATGCTGCGAGCCGAGGGAGGTGAGACCGGAGGAGGAAGAGAAGCACTCCGTGACTCTGAATATTATATTCATCCTGCAGACACCTCAAGGATTGCTGTTTGGATTCCCGTTTCCCCGAGCTGTGTGCTCGCAAACGCTCAAGAACAAAATTTTCCATAAGTCTGCTAAACTCAGGATTAGGGTAGTTGCAGTAACTGCTTTATGTGGCATGGTTCAAGGTTTTCTCAGTATTTCCAGCAAGCATCTGGGAATCCTGCATTTTTCCAAAAGTCTTTGCAAGAGAGTGTGAAGCACACATCTTTTTTTCCTTGTAAGTAGTTTTAGAAAGTGTATATAAAGAGATGAGCAGGGAGCTTAGTACAGTGGGAAAAACTTTTTCATAAATTGACTTGAAACGTGGCTGTTTGGTTCTGGCTTTGCCGAATGGCTGTGGGACCTCCAGCTGTCATTTACTTCATGGGCCTCAGTGCCTTCCGCATCAACATTTCATGTGTCAATAAAAACGCCCAACGTTCATTGGGGGCTTACTTTTTGTCAGGAAATTTTGTAGTCTTTTTACTCATTCAGTACCTTATTTAGTCATAATAACAATACTATGAGGTAGCAGCATACCCATTTTACAGACGGAGGAAATTAAGGCAAAACAGAGAAATTAAGTGATTTACTTAGGGTCGTACAGTCCAAATTCAAACGCAGGACTGATTACCAGAGGCAGCACTTATAAACACGATGCTTGGGACATCTCCTTTTTTATGTGACTTTCAAATAAATCAAAGTGTGTTTGCTTTTATTTACTTTTTTATTTATTTTTGCAAATTTCTAAAGGAGGGCAGGAGTTTAATGATGTATTTTTCCTGATCTTTCAACAAATGTTTACTGAGCATCCACTATGCACCAGACCACTATTCTAAGTGCTTCAGATAGATCCACGAAGAAAAACAGACAAGATCCTTGTCCTTGTGGAACTGAAGTTTTTCCTGTGAGAATAAAGAGCAACTTTAGCGAAAATTAAAAAAAAAAAAACCAAAAAACCAACAATACAGTATTATAGGTTATGGTTCTTTTGACAGCTATCCATTTGGTTAACTTTTGCCTCTGTAAAGAACTCTTCCATACAGAAAATATGGAGGAGTTAAAATTAAGAAATACTTCATCATTACATTTAGGTTCTGTGTTAATTTATTTAAGGTAGCAGAGCTTCTCTTACACAGGAAGAAAAACTCCCCTAACATCTCTGTTATAGATTATTTGGGCATTGAAAAAGGCAAAAGTCCACGGTTCTGCTAAGCCTTATTCATACCTTCGTGTAAATAACTTTCATCAAATGATGAACGTTAAAGGTCTACCCTAGCTTTACAGATTGTGGTGAGGAAGGAAGAAAGCTTTCGGAGGAAAATGACAGCTTTCAATGAGAAGGGAGATCTTGGACAGGTAACCAGAGGTTGGTTAACAAATGGTGACTGAGGCTTGTAGGTCTCCTGCCCTGCCACCACGACCCTAGACTTCAGTTGTAGTTCATGGCATCCAGTGGAAGGAATTATAACAATAACCACCTTCTAAGGGTAAAGCCCAAGCTAAGCATCTGAATTCTCACAATCCCATGAAGTATTGTCTTCCTTAGTTACAGATCTTAGCTCAGAGGCTCACAGGCACTAAGGAACTTTTCCAGTTTTATAGTGAATATGTGAAGGACTATATGAAGGGATCAAAACGGCGGTCTTTCTGACTCCAGATTTTATCTCAACTGCTAAGAGCCTAAAATTTTCAACTGGGTTTCATTTGTGATTGAAACAATTTCCACTAAATAAAATAATCATAACTAGAGAAATGATGACTAGTTAACTGGGAGTATATACACACAAATGACCCATTTTAAAATATAGAGTCTCTTGGGTAATAAAAATTTCTGCCTTCTTCCCTGTCCTGTTCCCTTTAATCTATTGTTTCTCCTCCTCTATTGAGCACCCAGGTTTGAGTCAGAGAGCCCAATGAAAAGGAAACGACAAGAGCGGAAATAAGTCCATTCAAAGGATATCCTTCTTGGTCCCTGATTTTGACCTGAGGGATACCCTAACATACATCAGGAAGTGAAAGGAGAATTGCTGATAAGTACTTGGGGGTGGTGAGGTCTTGCTTTCGATTTCATTCCTACAAAGCATGGGAGGAATGTGATTGTCATGTAGGAGGCAGCTCAGTACTGAGACGTGAAAACTCAGCATTCAAATGGCTTTGGTATATTCTCTCTAGTCATCAGTTGTTATATTCAGGTGATTTTCCATTAGTAGTCTTGTTAGGAAATGCTCTCCTAGTGTTTGGCTTTACTTAACAAGTCTTCCAAACATCGATCTGAACATTAAATCTCCAGGTACAACTAGTATTTTTAATTCTTCCAATTTTTGTGAATTTTTCTAAATTTATTAATGGACAACATGCATTCTTAACAGTCATTTCTAAAAATTGGATTAAAAGAAAAAAACACAGCATACTTTAAATGTCTGAGTATTGATAACAATAGGGGCCCTGGCTGGCTCAGTTGGAAGAGCATGTGGCTCTTGATCTCAGGGTGGTGAGTTCAAGCCCCATGTTGGGGGTAGAGATTACAAAATAAATAAATAAATAAATAAAATTGATTATTGATAGCACTTAAGAAAATAAAAGTTAAAAGTCATTTGAAGCATATTAGGAATTCTTATTAAAACCCTGGAACATTCATCTAGGTTTTTGAAAAAGTAATGAGAATGTATTTATATTAATATTGTATTTGCTTTTCTGTAATGTACTTAAATAATGTATTATGATGTTCTGTGAAATCATTAAATCCCATCTTTTATAAGAATGTTTTAAAATGATTATACATATATGATCATAAGTCACTGAAAAAAAGTTTAGAAAAATGTACATTCATTATTAATTTATATCCAAAATACTACATCTTTACATTTGTTTTTCATAATTAAATAGGTAGGGGAAATATAACAAGTGAATACTTTTGATAAAGAGCTTTATAGAATTAAACTTGAGTAAACTCTACATTTTCATTTTCAATAGCTTTAGCGTAGACTCATAACTTTACACTAAAATCCCGTTAATTTTTATCACTCATTAGCAATGCAGACCATATTTTATATGAGGTGTGCATGCCTATCTTTGACTCAATACTTAATTTCCCAGGTACTGACAACTAGATGAGTTCATTGTAATGTTTAAAAATGTCTTTGTGTGTGGACAAAATGACATTGTCCTCTTCATTGCATTGGGTTATGTTTAAAGGTAAAGGAAAATCTGACAAATTCTATCTATTCATCTTCCATGAGTCTTCTAGGTGCTTGGAATAAATCCTCCCAACTGTATAACAGCCCACTCTAATGCAGAATTTAGCTTAATGTGGGTTTGTTCTGGATTCCTTCCAAAAGGAGGCAATTATCTTTGGAAGTACCCAAGAACTCATTTTTATAGCCTAGTCTGCTGCAGAGATCACCAAATGGGTTGATGATGGTGATGATGAGGATAATAATACGATAATAATAGCTGCTACATTTACTTAGTCAATTTCTGCTCTTTTATTAACTGTGTGACATTAAGTTTCTTAAGCCCTCTGTATCTCCTTTTCCTCATCTGTAAAATAGGGGTAACAAGAGTACTTACCTTACACTATTGTTTTAAAATTAAATGAGATAATCCATGGACATGTTTAGCGCAGTGTCATTATTTCTGTTGTCACTATTATTATTACTATTGTATTTTAGAAGTGTTTTTCTGATCCCCCTTACTGAGCACTTACTATGTGATCTTATCACATAGGATGTCACCTATCACCATGTTAAAAACCTACTCATTTCATTTATAAATTCGTATAACCCTATGAGGAGAGTAACATTATCATTATTATTTTGCAGATAGGAACCCAGGATCACAGTACTTAAAAATTTTCTCAAGTGTCATATTGATAGTAGAAACAGACTTGAACACTTTTGTTTGACTCAAAGCCTTTGAAAGGACATTAACATGAAAATGATGCAATGATAAGAAATCACTGTTAGAAATTCTCTTTAAAAATAATTTTATATGGAAAATTTCTATTCTGTGCTTAAAGTAATTGAGATGATTATATATTTTATAGTGCATGACCAACATATTGCACGTGATTTTCATTTTAATAAATTGGGTCTTACTTCTAATCATTGTAAAGAAGATAGTTGATTGGTTTGGCCATTGAATGATTCTCACCAAGCCACTATGATATGCCACAGACATAGATGAATTTTTCCTGAGTTACTAAGAAACTGTGTAGAGCCAGGCACTTACTGTTCACTGGATTAACTCCTGTAATTACACTGAAATTAAATTTTTATAAACAAGATTTAGAAGCGGTGGAGCAAACACAGGGCAAGTGCTCTGCTCATTAGGTCCTATAAGCTGTTAAGTGAACCTAATATTGAATATGAAAATTCCAATTAAAACCTTTTTACCCAACTCTATGAAATTCCCTTATGTTGATAGAGATTGATCATACAGAACCATTAAAAATGCTTTTCATCGAGTGTATGTAATTTATTAATATTAAAAGTTAAATTGCATTTAAATTTGTCCTTATTCTATTTAGTGCTTTCTTCCACTATTAAGGAACTCAGTAAACTTGAATTCCATTCTGTAATTAGAAGAGAGGTAATCTTTACATTTCATATGTGTTATAAGGTTTTTTATGTTGCATTTCCTTGCTTTTTCTGGAATCAACTCAAAATTGAAAAGTTTTTCAACCAGTAAATATTTATAAAATGTACTTTTGCAAGAGCTGGTAGTGGGTATTGTATATACAGATGGAATATGTATTATATATCATGTACATAATTTATACCATATGTATGAATAGACACACAACAAA